AATGACAACTGGCTGACGTTTAAAGACTACGAATCTACCTTTGCGCCCGAGATCTCCATCTTCACGCCACCGCAGCCAGCGCCGCGCGACAATGCCCATTCTCCCACTGGTAGCTCCTGGCCAAGATCCCCTCCCCCCAACCTGGGCTCGGCTGGATTAGCACAAAACCCCAGCCTCAAGCATCACCAGTCCACCAAATCGACTGTAAACTCCCCGACGGCCATGACCAACGGCTCCGCCTCTGCCGCCAATAATATTAATATAACCGAAGAGGTATCTATCGTGCGACCAATCTCGCTCCGAAACGGTCGCGGCGCCAGACTCAGCTTCTTGGGAGGAGGAAGCGGACACAAGAAGAATCAGTCATCACTAGCCCAGACGCAGGAAAACAGAAAACCAGCAGATCATCATGGCGGCGAGGAGATAGTTGCCAAGCTGAACGGAAACAGTTCAGGGGGTAATGCTGGCGGCGGCGGGGGGCTGGGTAGGACCATGTCCCTCTCTCATTCCACCCACGGATCAAGCAGCGGACGGAGTGGGAGTAGAAGCCACAGCAAGGAGACGAATAACCGGAGGAGTTTCTTTCGCTCGGGTGGTGGTGGGGGGGCTAATATGGTACATGTCAATGGTACCGATTTGACTACTAGCCCGACTTCTGGAACAGCAGTTGGTGGGGGAGGAGGAGGAGAATGGACCGCCGAGGGGAGTAGTCCTTCTCGTGGGCTGTCGGGCTTTGTCTTTGGCACGTCGGCGCTGAGTAAAGAGTCGTCGGGGAATTCTTCTTCTGCCAGGGGTGGGGGGACTACGCTCCATGGTGGTACGAATACTAATCCTGGTTCTGGTGGGGAGAAGACATTCTCGGATCATAGCAGTGGGGGCTCAAACTCGGGGGGCATGTTGGGCGGGAGTGTGAGGAAACGATTAAGTTTGTTGAGATTGGGCGGTGGTGGGGGGAAGAGTAAGATCCCGGGCAGCGGGACGGGTGGTAGTAGTATGATGATGACTACTGCTGGGGGAGGGCACCACGCTATGGGGAGTCTGGATGAGGAGTGAGTAGTGGACCTCGCTCTGACTCCTCAAAATGTTTTCCTTTCCTTTTCTTTCTTTTTGGAGAGGTTGTTTGACGAGTCTTGCATTATTTATTTGCATGTGCAGTAGTACTAGTACCCCCTTTTCTTTTTCCTTCTGTCGTTGTTGTTGTTGTTGTTGTTGTTGTTGTTGTTGTTGTTGTTGTTGTTGTTGTTGTTGTTGTTGTTGTTGTTGTTGTTGTTGCTGTTTTGACTTGGCTTTGCCTCTGTCTTGATATACCGAGCGGCGAGGGCGGCAACCTACCAAGTAAGCCGGTCGAGTTACTTGGGTGGTAGAACTACGTGGTTGATTTTTTATTATCTCTGACTGGCAAAGAAGGATTTAGGATTCAGGATATGTCTACGATACCACACAGTATCAGTATTCGTATAACCTAGGTACTTATCGCCTATCCTTTTCTTGGGTCTGTTTGCAAACCATTCATGTCAATATCTTTCTTTTTCTTTCTACTCGTTTTCTTTGTTCCATGTTTGCCAAAGATGTTAGCTTATACCCCATGCATACATACATATCACACATAAACATGACAAGCGGTCCTGGCGGTTGTTTCACGGCGACCTTACTTACTCACTTACATACACTGTACTTTAGTACGTTTCTTTTGTAATGTTTTAATTCTTTCTGTTCCATTATATATATTTTTCCCTTGACAACAATATTTCAGATTATGATTGCGGATGGCGAAGGGCGAAGGGCGAAGGGCAGACAGACAGACAGGGGGCAAGGCAAATAAAAGAAGAGAAACTTTAGTGCATCCGGTCAGTCAGTACAATGAGATGCTTGAATGATTGTTAGTTCAGTTCTTTTAACAGGGTGTTGTACAACACTTCAAATAATCACTAGTTATAACTTACTTGAAAATACTATTAAAAAGCCGACAATTTAAGTATTTAATTAGTTTCTTCTCAGTTTTAGATACTTAACCTCCTTCTCAGCGTAAAAATCCGTTATTTGGCTGTAAAGCTGCATCAAGTTCGGGGGAATGTACCACGCTAACAATTAAACCAGGGGAGGAGTGTACTTTGCTCGCCCATATACGCATACTACATACATCCCTCCGTTTTCCTTGGTGCTGCTGCCTTTACAACCATTTGATCAAATTACACAGAAGCAGAAAGTGACATCTTTGTACCTATCTACCTGACTGTTGACATCACTTTGAAGGCTGGGCTGGTAAAACGCCCTGTTAAAAGCGAAAACATTAACACATCCTATACAAGAGGCGCTGAGTGAAGTCAGTGGAAAAATATAAGCTAGGAGTCTTGTTGTATCTATTCTGCAAGAGTTTGCTCTAGTAGGTACCTAGGTAGGTGGGTATGAGATCAATATTTTGGTGCCAGTGATTGAGAACAAAATGAGAGAGGGACGAAAAGCACAAAGAACTACTTAACTAGAGGAAGGGCAAAGAAAGATCAAAGGGGAAGAAGAAGATGCATGTTAGTTACCTGCCTGCCAGCAAAGAAAAGCTCTGTTCACCAACCCCCTTCATGCCCCCACCCCTCCTCCTCAACATCCCAATCCCGTTCCACCCTCCACGCAAGATCACCCAGACTCTTTACCCCTTCCTCCCTCCCATATCCATTCCCTTCTTCCTCCGCCCCCTCCTTACTATTAGGGACAGTCCACCTAGCGATATCACACCCCCGATGTCCCCACTTGTCACTAAAGACCGACCGTCCAAGATCAATCTGCATCAAAATCCCTTGCTCGAACCCGTCAGGATCTCGGTAGAAAGGTTCCCCGTATCCGCCCGATTGTGATTTCTGCCAGGTGTTTCTGTGCGAGTTTGTCCCGCCGCTGTATTTTTGCGCTGACATTCTGCGCACGGTTGCGAGCAGGTTGTTGTACGTCTCGCCGAATCGGGAGGTTTGTTTACTTAGTCGGGTTAGGGTGTTTATTTCGCGTAGGAAGGTTGAGGACTTTGTTGGGGAAAAAGAATCGTCGTCTTCGGGGTTTTTGTTTGTTGTGGGGGAAGATTGATAATGAGTTTGTTGTTGGGTGCCTGAACTTGAAGAAGGGACGGCGGAAGAATCCGAATTGATGGCTTTCCACCAGCCTTGTTCCTCGATGGGCACGCCCGGGTCACCGGGGAACAAGGCGTGGATGCCGGGTAAGCGGAGGAGAGCGCCCACGTCGTCTAGCACACTGGCCACATCAAAAACATGCCCTGCTTCCCTCGTCGTGTAATGCGCATAGCCGGACCATTTCTGGCGGATATACATGTCGCAGTCTGATGTGTAAAAGGGAATGTGTGTGTCCCACCCGCCTGTGTCAACTACCGAGGCCGTGTTGACTAGTGTTAGTTGGTCGTAGCGGAAAAAGACGTTTGCCCATTTCGTAGGCGGTTTTGCGGCTTGCATGTTGGTGTGGATTAGGTGATGTTTGTTTTTTCGGAGATAGCTTTGGACGGATACCGCGCGGTGGTATAACGAGGTCGACGAGTTGCGGTCGTAAATGTTGAACCCCTGTTTGGCGATTGTATCGGGCGAGGGCGTCCCGCCTTCGGAGGCTTCTTCAAACGAAAAGACCACGACGTCTTGGTGGGACCAGAAGTACTCTGTCCAGTTTCGCTGGAGCGCTGTGTAGGCGTAAAAGTTTTGGAGCTGGGCAAAGGTCAGCAGGGTAGGGGTCATGATTACTTTGACCCCCCCGAGCATGGCGAGCTGCGTGTGGTTGAGGTAAAAGGGGTTCTGGAGGGTGAGCTTGTCGTCCCGGTTGGAGTACATTACTCCTGTGTTTTCGACCACGTAAATGTCCGCGGCTGGCCAGCCTGCGGCTATGTAGCTTACCACGCACTGGATGAGCTGAGGCCAGTTGCGGGTGAAGCCTATGAATAAGGGGGTCTCGTGGGCTGGGTGGGGAGTTGGCGGTCGAGTGCGTTCGGAGAGGAGCTTCTTGTAGAAGGGCGAGAGGGGCTTGGACAGGAGCGGGAATGGGTCTGCAATGGGTGGTCTTTTCTCGGGTGGTGGTTTGAGTGGTGGTTTTTGCAGCCTGGTGCCGCCCCATTGCAGGTCGGATTCGACTACTTTGATCAGTAGTTCTTGGTCTCGCTCGTTGCCGGGTGAGTGGTCTGGTTTTGCCTTTGTGTTTTTCTTGCTGCCCCCTTCTAGCTGTGACAAGGGAGCAGGCGGGAGAATATCTGCGAGTGCAGAATATCTGGACTCATCTTTCAATGTCGATATCGGTTTCTGTACCTCATTTGGCGCATTCTTGCAGATACGCGCCGACAGTCGTAATATCGAGTTTATCGACTCCGCAATGTCGCTCTCTATCGAGTTGTCTCGTCCATGTGGGAGGAGGAAGCGGACGAGGAGCAGTGCGGTGCATATGAAGAGCAGTCTGTATCGCGACCGGATTGATATATGCATCATTGTGCTGTCAGGAAGCCAGCGACTTGGAAACGGAGGAGGAAGAGATGGTTTCTGGAGTCATGTTCATCGCAAGGAACAGATATCTGGGTAGATATCGTGAATCCTCGATTGCTGTCCATATTGGATGGGCAACGGCGATTGACCATTCACCATTGGACCTTTGCACCATTATGTCTTGAAGGCACCGGTGTCTCGAGTTGTGGGTGGTTATCTTTTTATATCCTTAGCAGAACCTCCGCGACTCTTACCAGGGATATGGTTCAGGGTCGCTCCAAAAAGCTTAAAAGGGGCGAATCGCCCAGAATAGACGAGGCTAGAACTTAGAAGACTATTTGAAATTCCCATATCTAGTTCAAATGGTATTCTCGTCCGGTGGCTATCCCTCGGGTGACCGGCCAGATGTGGGGCCGTTTCAGGGGTAAAAGTAAACAAAAGGAACATGCAAGTGTCCACCTCCGCCCTGACCCACACCCGAAAATATAAAGTGAAAAAAATACCCACAAAGGCAAAAAGGAAAAACTAGAGGCAGTTAAAAAAGAATGGGCGACCCCGGAATCGAACCGGGGTTTGTTCGGAAATTGTTGTTCTTCTCGAAAGAAGGAACCACAACGAACCGTCCTGACCACTAGACTAGTCACCCTTTTCTTATCATCTAATGTTTGTAACGCAGTGGATTCAGTCTTGTAAAGGTTCTTTCCCATCCCAGATACAAGATTTCCTGAAGAAAAGTATAAAACATATCTTTTCCTTTCATCAGGCCTAAATGTGAATCCATCTCCCCCGAACTTTTTAATAATAATATCTCCTCCTATTACCCTATACCTTGGCCTGTGTCTTGTTCCCGACGGACCGGATTAGATTTGCCGTGCGCTGGGAAAATAGAAATCCAAGGTATGGGAAGAATGAGATATATGTTTGGGGGAAAAGGGTTAATTAGGTGACTGAGAGAGAAACTGGAGTTAAGATACCGAGGCTGGCAGGCTGGTAGGCAGGCAGCTTTGAAGGTAATTGTTGACATTTGAATCAAGACGTTGGTGTATTAACATTAATGACATGAAGAGGCTGAGGGGGCGGCAATGGTATGGTCAAGGTCAAGGAGTTCAATTGCTTAATTACATTGTCAAGTAAATCTTTTACTGTATTATCTGTATGGTTTCGCCATACATGACATTGGCTTCATGTTGTTTTAATACATTCTCAACTAAAATCTTGTTTTATTTCCACTTTCATGCTTGGAGCTTCATATCTCTCTCATGATCAAACAGAGGAATGTGGACTTGATGAGAAAGATCAGCTCTTACAACTTCTTGCGACATGTTCTGTTATTTCCTACATACTATCTTGTCTGTCATCTGCCTTGTTGCCTGTTTACTGTTCTGCAAGTTAGCTACTGAACTCCTCACAACAATACGTACTTGTCGTTAATACTAACCAGTATCAGATTATGTCACTCAGATGTTGAAACAATCTTGCCGTCTTCTCAACCGGTACACAGTCGTGGTGCAAGGCTAGGCTGGGCATGTATCATCTGTAGAAATTCATCTCTCCGTGAAAGGACGAGATGTAGGTATCTGATTGACCAATATAACATGCTATCCGTATATGAAATAAAAGGAAGGAATGGAACAAGAAAGAAAGAAAGTGCCAACCAGCTTGCCTAACCACTACCTCCGTGGTCCATCCTTGCAAGATATCCTGACAGCCTCTGCAATACCATTGATATCATACCCCTACCAAAAAGACCCCACCGGTCTTTGCATACCATTGATATCATACCCTGACCAACAACCTCACGGTCTTTGCCTTTCGCTCCTCGTGCCCGAAAACATCATGTCTAGGAAAGAAAAGAAAAACACAGAGACGAAAAAAAAGAAACACGCATCCACGCAGTCAGTTGATCCACAACCCGGACCAAATGGACAAGACAATAATCCCAACGAATGCCCCTGTCCCCCTTTACCCATGCCCAAAACCCAACAGTGGCAGGAGTCACATTCAACTGCCCCTGATATGAACAAGCCAAAACAAAACGATATTCCCCCGTGCAGCCAGAACGCCCAAGCACCCAGGTAATCCCAAACTTGCCCCTGAAAACCCAAACCATCCTTTTTTCTCGCCATTTCTGTAGAGCCCGAGAAAGCCCTGTCATGATCTAGCAGACACCAGTCCTAGCGAGACTTGTTATTGCTTTCCATCATCCTTGCTCTTGCCCTTGTTTTCTGCCTCCGCTTCTACGACTTTCCCCGGAGCATCAGGTGCAGCCGTTGGGGTCGGCAGCTTCTCCTCCTCCGTTTCCGCCAAAACGGTCGAAGACATGCCGACTTCTCTAGGGCTGTTCGCCAACGGACTACTCGCCGTCACCAGTACCGTCGCCCCCGTGCCGGTGCTGCCCCCATATACACTTCCGCTAAAACTATCCGTAGTTCCATGGCCAAGCAGCCCGCTCCGCATACTGCCCGTCTCGCCACCTCCCGTCGCCAGCCCTGGCACCTGTACCTGTTTTGCATACAAGCTATTCCTCTCGCTGGCTGCTGTGCCTCCCAGGATACCCGTAGCAGAGTAGATGCTGGTTCGCTCATTCGCCATGCCGCTGGTTCCGCGATGTAAACCGGGCGTTGTTGGCCCCGCCGGTCCCGCCGATCCTGACGTCCCTGGACCGCCAACATCCATGTTCATATTGGCACTCAGAATGCTTAGAGGGAGAGACTCACGGCTGCCACCAAATAGCGAAGATGGCGCAAGGGCGCGGACTGAGGCATCCGTGTCAAAGGATCGTCGGCGACGGCGTTTTGAAGACGAAGCGAGGGTAAGGATGGAGGCGTTGTCGGTTAAAAGGTTGTTCGCGGTCGCCGAGGCGTAGGTTGTTGGGTGGCCGGTAGTGCTCCCCGCGGGGGTGAGGTGCACCGGGATGGCAGACGCCGGGGAGGCGGTAGGGAAGGGCTGATCAAAATGGATGATCTGGGAGTTGGACTGGGCCGAATGGTGAGCGTGGTTGCTCGTCGACGAGTGGTGCTGGTTTGCGCCCACTGCGAGCGACTGTATCGTGGTTAGAGTGGTGGTGAGCGAGCGGACCGACGGCGCGGGGGACGAAAAGGTGCTGTCGCCGCCCCTTCGTGACTCCACGCCGCCGTTGGCAGTGCGGCTTGTTCCGGCCACCGAGGACGCGCCATGAGATACGGCTACCGAGCGGGAGGTATATGTTTCGTGGTCGGTCGAGACAGTCGGGGCCATGGATCGGCCGCCCGTGGTGGGGGGCGGCATGCCCTCGGTGGATAGCCGTGGGGATTCGGTTCGGCCCAGTGACGTTAGACTCGAGGACCTCGCACTCTGGGCCGTCGAGACGGTATAGCGACTGCGGCGGGTGGATTCGTCATAGTTGACATTGCCCGAGAGAGGATATGGGTTGTTGTTCTTTTGCTGGCGCTTCTTCATGTGGCCCAGCTTCCCGTTGGCGAGACGGCTGCCGTCGCCCGACGAGGCAGCTTTGAGGTTCGCGAGCTTCTTCATCAAGGTCGAGAAAGGCCGGCGGCGGCCGGGGCGATCCGCCCGATCTGCCATGTTGTCAGCGGGACCGAAGGGGCTCAACGGTGGGGCCGAGTTGCCTCTAGTTCGGAAAGGAGGGGGTAGAGAGGGCATCAGGGTCCGCCGGGGTAAAGATGATGGCTGAGAGATTCAAGACGGGAGCGGCACAAAGAAAGAGTCCGGGTGCACCAAGACAAGACTTTAGAAGAGGGGAGCAGTACCAGTACCGTGCGCTGGCGTGGTTGTTTCAGTCATGGCCATGGCGGGATTCGACGCGAATCGGTCAATCACCGTGATTGAATTGCACAAGAAATGGAGACGGCCGCTTTTCTAATTCCACATGTGCAGTACGGAGTAGGTTGAAGCGGTCCAGAATTGGGAATTGCGAGACGTGTAATTGGTGGGCATGTAACCCGTAGGCAGTGCTGAATCTGATGAAAGGGAAGTCGCCTTGGGCAGCGGCGGACATGGAAATCGCAAATCTGGTGGTGTCGAGACGGCCTGTAATACCCTGTAGCCTCAAACAGAATAGCGTATCTGCATGCAGTCGTCGTCTTTCGTTTCGTTTCGTTACGACGTTGATCATCAACCGATCAAAGGAAATGCAAGTCAACTTATAAGAGGCTCTCTTTCAAACAACAAAAGATATCGCGCTGGTCCGAACCTGTCCCAGCGTCGCGGATAGCAACCAGGTCAAGGGTCATTGAACAACATGATGCCCTATGAATGCTATGATCAGTGATGACGCTCTAGCGGGAGGCTCAGCGGTTTGTTCGGCGCCTTCACTGCCTGGACAAGAATGCGGGGCAACCAGCTCATGCTGAGTCATGCTTTTGGTGAGATTGAGATGAAGTTACATTCCAGGGCATCCATCTATCAAGGTTCTCTCACCAAAACATCCCAGGAAACGGATCATCGCTGATCACCGACCCCAAGCCAAGCCCATCCTGCTTGTCTTGATGGTGGCATTGTTCGTTATCGCTTGACTGTAAACATTTGCCGATTTCCGTTCGTCTCATCTTCCCTTCGCCTTTGCGGACACAACTTTGTTGCCAAGACCTTTGTAGCCTGGGACCCTTCCAACCCAACATCGAGTGATGACAGCCAGAGTAGTCATGTTGGCCTCGTCATGTCGATTCAACCACTTCCCGGGGACGTCGTCGCTCAGATCAAATCATCCATCATCATCACCTCCCTGAACGGCGTGGTATCGGGCCTTTTGCAGAACTCGTTGGACGCACGTGCATCCCGGATCAATGTCTCAGTCGACTACGCCCGCGGAAATTGCTCCGTTGAAGATGATGGGCTGGGAATTTTGCCAGCAAGTTTTCATGAAAGTGGCGGACTCGGCCAGCTTTACTGTGAGTTTAGATGGTTTGGTACCAGAGCATCCTACTGAACATGCAGCATAGATACATCGAGATACCCTCCTCGAGCTGAATACCACGGCAGACATGGAGAGTTTCTGGCCTCCCTAGGGACACTGTCGTTGCTGACAGTTGCATCCCATCACCATGAATACCGCTCGCACAACTGCCTGACGATTCACAATTCCAGAGTTATCTCACGCAATGTGCCTGCTCTGCCCGAGCAACGAGTGGTGACATTCCCGACCGGCACCCGTGTTGCCGTCCGTGACCTGTTCGGCTCCATGCCCGTCCGCGTGAAGCAAAGAGCCATGGAAATGGAACGACTGGGATCAACTAGGAGCTTTAATCAGTTGGTTTCCATGGCGGTGGCTCTCCTCCTTGCATGGCCCACGGGTGTTGTGGTCTCGCTTCAAGATGTAACCAGCAACCGAACCATTGTCCTCCGTACGTCGACGCTGGGCAGATCTCCGACGCAGATGGCGAGAGAGATTCCTGCCCGCACGTGTACTCTCCTTGGACAGGCGTCTTTGCTTGAACGAGAAGATGCGAAATCCTGGCTGTCTATTGGCGCGTCTGTCACTGGAGTCTCGTTGGGCGGCTGTGTATGCCTGGTTCCCGTGGCCACCAGAAGTGTCCAGTTCATATCACTCGGGATCCAGCCGTTATCCAACGAAAACCAGTCAAATATACTCTACGAAGAGGTCAACAAGGTCTTTGCAAACTCTCGTTTCGGTGAGGTTGAGGAAGT